GTTTCGGATGAATGTGAGAATTGAACGTGCATTCAACAATCCTAGCAAGTGTTGTGCTTTTACACGTCGACATATTGTAGCAGCGTTCACGCAGCAAACATAACTGTGTACATCTTAAACAACGGCAGTGTTTTCATGCTTGTACTATGTGCCTCTGATGATGGTTTTATTAAACCGAAACATGTAAGGCAGAAGTGATAAAGAAGTGACCTATAAATTGTTACACTCGACGGACTTTCTATTGACTTTGTGAAATGTGACCATTTTATTCATTTTATATAGGCTCCCACATTTATCTTTTTCTGTATCCATTGTTTTTTTAGGACCCTCTACAAAAGCAAATTAAGGTTTCAGTGTACAGTTATTGAGTTTTTGGACATGTTATTTGAAAAATAACCACAGGGAATGTCATCTTGTTAGTACATGTGTGAAAAATACATGTTAGTCAGTACATACCTCTTATTCTGGTCTCAAGAAGTATAGTTCCAGTTACATGGGTTATTAGCCTTTGTTTTCTGAATTATGACATGTAGTCTGGTATGTTGGAATGCTCCTGCTAAACTACGTGGTGTCCACAGCCACAAAATTCTCTAATCTTATGTAGGAAGAACCTCATTTAAAATGTAAATATCTAGAAGAAGAAAATAGTAGATAGTACCATTCACCAGCATTGTAAGTAGAACGGTCAAAGGGTTATGAGTGATGGTAAGCAGGAGATCTGAGAGGGGTTGGTACAACTCCCTCCCCTAACCCTGTCAAGCAGCAGTGAATGAACACGGACCCACTGCAGAGTGTCTTGTTTTGATGTCATAATCATGATTTCACATCTTGTGCTATGATAATGTAAGATCCTTATTCTTAGCCTCGTGGTTCTTTAAGGATTCATCTTCAGGGGTTCCTTCGGCATTTTTAGGAGCTGCCACAGAGATCTTGGAGGGTCCAAATTCTTGAATCATGCTCACAGTGCTGGTTTTCTATATCACATAACTCACAAGTTAGAAAACTGGCTCATCTTTTTTGGTGACTACTGTTACTGCTTCCATTGTCCAGTAATTCTTATGTAAATGATAACATTATGGATCTGTGTACTTCCGTTGGAGATTATTGTGGTTAACATGTTCATCTTTTATGGGTACAGATGTGTCTGAAGTTCAAGTGTACCACATTCCTAAAGGACAGAATTTCCATTTCATTTGAACCCATAGTTACCCACTTGTGCTAATAAAATATTGATTAAAGGACTGACCAATGGTAATAGATATAATGCAGTATGCCGAACTTAAATATTTGCATTTAAGGAAAAAGGGACTTACAAATTATAAATAAAATTTTTTATTGATTTTAATAATCTGAATCTGGATTATTTTGTCAGCAGACCATACGGTTTTAATAGAGTTCATTTTCCCAATATGCTGTTACATTAAACAGTGTAGAATTTTTTTGGANGCCACTTTGGTCATCGTCTCAAACAAAACATGCATCTGATCATGCACATGCACAAATCTGACCACACATAAACCTGGTCACATATTGTACCTTATCAATTCTATGTTCAACTTTCTGCAACCAGTATCTACCCAACCTAACCAGATCAAGATGAATATCAGATTAAACTCACACATAAATTACGCATGTGCACCATTTGAAGTGCATAAAATTATAATACAGGGTGTTTCAAAAAGAGCTTTACAACTTTGAAAGCTTATATAAATTTATACAGAGGATATACACAACGTTTTGAACTGTCATAATGTAACAAAACACACCGAGTTTTACCTCTGAAAGTTATGGTTCAATGTGACTTCCATTGGTAATGCGGCAGACGTCCCACCTGAAGTCAGTCTCTTGCCACATGCTATGTAGCATCTCTGGCGTCACTTCTGCAACTGAGGCAGTAATTTGAGTTCGGAGCTCAACGACATTTGCAGGCAAAGGTGGTACGAACACTCGATCTTTAACGAATCCCCATAAGAAAAAATCCAGGGGAGTGAGATCTGGGAACGAGGTGGCCATGCTATTGGTACCACTCTACCAATCCACCGACCTGGGAAATGGGTGTTGAGGTTCTCGCACACTTCTCCAAGGTAATGAGGGGGTACGCCGTCTTGCTGGAAGTGAATGTGTCCTCCTTTGTCATCTTCGTCTAACTGTGGAATGAGGAACTCTTGGAGCATGTCCAGATATACGATACTGGTAATGGTTGTCTTCATGGAGAAGAAGGGGCCGTACACTCTTTCTTTGCTCAGGGCGCAAAACACATTCACCTTTGGTCTATCACGAACATGTTCCAGGTAGACACGTGGATTTTCGCTGCCCCAGATCCTGCACATGAAACGTGCTCTCATCACTGAAAATTACGGAGTCCAGAAACTTCTCATCATCTTCTATCCGATGAAACATTTGCATACAGAATTCCTTACGAACCACCTTATCTGCATCCATAAGGTGTTGAACAATGGATAGTTTGTACGCTTTTAAGTGTAATCATTTTCGTAACACTCGTCACACAGTAACATTTGGAATACCAGTTTCCTGAGATGCACGTAGCGTTGACTTTCATGGACTTTGAACAAAGCTGTCCCTAATCTGTTCTACTGTAACGTCAGAAACACGTTGCCAACTGGGTAGCTTGGCATGGTGTACAGTAAATTGTAGGCCTACTGCGAGGTTCCTTGCGATACTGAGTGTGAAATTTCCTTTGAACTTGTGTAGCAGACTTCGTTTCCTGAACCAAAACACACATTGAGCACGCTCTGCACCTGTGAAAGTAGCCATCTTGATTTCAACTGCGGGAGCGCTCGTGGTGGCAGTGTTGGGTATTACAGTACCACGTGCATGAAACTCGGTGTGTTTTGCTACATTATGACAGTTTGAAACGTTGTGTATGTCCTCTGTATAAATTTATATAAGCTTTCAAAGTTGTTAAGCTCTTTGAAACACCCTGTATATCTGTGATACATTTGGAGACCCCAGAAGATGAGTAAGGCAGTTAAAACCTACATGTCTTCAGTATTTGTTACATAATAGTAAATCAAGGCTCACATGTAAACTGTCCACATAGACTTATTTGAAATGCATGAAATCCTAATAACACAATAAGGGCCAAAGCATGTTAGGGATTTAGAAGCTTATGATTAATGCATGATATTCTGTGTTGATTAGGGGAAATTTAGCATGTAACTTAAGATGGATACCTCTCATGAAGTAATGCACCTTTGCTGCCTTACTTTAGTTAAGAAGTACAAATTTCCTTTCAGTCCTTGTATTCCATTTTTATATGGACCTAGAGAACAGCCCTTTGAAATCCATGGTAAATTGAAAATATTAATATAGGAATTGTATTTGTTATAGTATTGTCTGTGTAGAATTGAATGGCAAACATGCATACAGAGTGAAGACAGTGAAATGCCAAAGCAGACACTGGGATGTAAAACGTTGGGACGAAAAGGTTCTGAATGCTCAAAGGAACCATTGTACGTAGAGGTTTAGGAACAGGCAATTAAGGCTAACCTTACTTAGTTGACGCTTAAAAGTCTTCAGAAGCGTGTTCTGGGATCAGTGGTTTTTATATCTTTACTAACAATATATTGTAACTTTCCTTTCATGTTAAAAGGTAGTTTCTAAATAATAAAGTGTGTTTTTGTAATCGTCATTCTCCTTAAACAAAGTGAAACGTTTATCATAATAAAGATGTAAGCTTCTTTGGCATTTGCAGTTGTGACAGTAGTGTCGTTAACATTATATTAAGTTGTGAGACTGCATTTAGCATGCTGTTGGTCTGTTTGCTCATATGTACATATAATGGTATGTGCTATGTTTCCCTTTTTGTTTACAGAACAAGAGAAACTTTGGCCACTGGGAACTTATTGAGTGTGATCAATGTTCTCATGCAACTGCGTAAAGTTTGCAATCACCCCAATCTGTTTGAGGTTCGCCCAACTATCTCACCATTCCAGACGGAAGGCATTACATATGTAACAGCTTCTTTGGTTATGTCTGTGCTTGACTATGATCCCTTTAAGGTTAGTGATACTACTTAACGTGATAAAAGTGGTAGTTCTGAACTGAATGGTATGACAAACATAGAAGTTAAGCTACAGGGACATATTGGTTGTCTGTGGTAATGGTGGGAAGAACTACCGTGAATAATTGAAAATTACAGATAATCCAAATACAGTGTCTTTCATCAAGCAACTAAATCAAGTTTGCCCAGCCACGAGAAAATGTACAGGCAGTAGCTGAACGTGCCTTACATGAGAAATGGATGTTCATAGTGACTTAGCTATGTTGCTGTGCAGTGTCGGTTACTCTTTATCTTGCATAGCTGTCATAACATGTTCGGGTAACTCACAAATGTGTATCCATTTTTTTTTGTGTTTCTTTTCTTGTAAGATCATTCAAAAGCCTTGTTTCATGTTCTTATTTACAATACTGAATAGAGATGGTGAAGTATACACTTGGACAGAAGGATTTTTGTTCCATAGTTACATGAAAAACCATGCAAAATGTTTTGCCATAAGTATGATGCTCCTTGAGTTCCAGCGTTTTTCAGCAATTCTCGAATCGTGAATAAAGTGCATTGAGCTGTCTCTTTCTTAGACATGAAATACATTAGATGGAGTACTGTAGAGGGGAGAAGCCTGGCGAAATTGGAGTGATATTGAGAAGTGATGTCAGCAATGTGACACGTGCAGCCAGTTGTGGACCTGGATTTGGACCTGGGCTCCAGATGTATGCTGCCACCTGCAGTGGGTTGACCCATTATGCCATTCCTGCACAGCACAAGGGGAAAGGCGATGACAAGGCTGTAATAAGAACCCAGAAAGGATGGATGTTTGGGAAGAGACATCTGGCAAAACTGGAAAGCAACAATGCTATAAGGATCCAAGGCTTTTAAAGAAGCAGCTATGTCTGAGGAACAAGAGGACATCAGCAGGATTATCAGGAAAACCACTGGGCTGGAGATCGTGAACTGAATAGTCAGGATTTGAAAAATGAGTGTCAGGACATTGTGGAGGGGTCAGCCTGCACTGAAATGAAAGAAGAGATGGCACACACAATAGGAACCATAAATGTAGGAGCATTGACCACTCTCAGAACTTGTGGCCGTACCAACATTAGGGAGGTGATGGTGATACATCTGGATTGACAGGCACTGTCAGGGTGCTGCTTGGGACAAGCATGCTTAAGGTGTAGAGTGTTAACCAGTGAATAGCAACGTGACCATGGACGCTGAAGAATCTCCATTCATTACCAGCAGACATCTAGTGAAAACATTGCAGAGGAATAGCCATTGTTGAGATCTGTTACCAAGCAACGACTAGTGAAAGACTGAGAAGACTTGGTGTGGAGTGATTTGTAGTGTGGAAATCAGCAGTAATGTTTAGATTCTAAAGGGTTCTGACGACGGTGGATGACACACAGAATTACTGGGTTTTTGGACTTCTCCCATCGTCCGGAATTCTAGGTAGTAGAGGACACGACGTTTTGGAAACTTGATCTGATTCCGTCTTCAGGTGAAAGAGGAAGACACCTACTCAGTTGGGCCCCTTAGAAAGAGCTAATCTCAGTCACTGGATCCGTTGTCTTGTGTGCTTGATGAAGGTTTTTGAGCACCACCATGCCGTTATTCTAGCAAAATTTGTCTCATTGTTATTCTTCCATGTTAGCCATGCTGGTTACTTGCTTGGCTTTTTGTTCTACCCTGAAGACAGGTGACATGTTCCTCGGAAATGTTGGTTGACTTCCTTTGGACTTCACAACATTATATCCTAGAAGACAGAACTCTTTGTAAGATATGAACTTTCTCCCCTTAGAACTTATCATATTAATACTTTTAAAGAATGAAGGAACTTGTGTTTTGAATCAGGTTTCATGAAGGAAGGAATATCCATTTTCCTCTTTCGTGTTGAAAGAGAGGCATTTGTCTCAGAATGAGCACACTTTTTACATTCAGAAAGTAATTTATTATTTAAATATGCAAGAAATAACACAATACACTGAATAGTTCACAAGCTCCATCTTCAGGATAATTTTGAAAAATATCTCTGATTCATATATTAATATTCTGAGTTTCCAGTGTGTGAGTCTTCTAGTGAGCAGTATTGTAAGTATGCTGACATGAGGAATTTCTAAAATTACATTCTTGTCACTCTTGAAAGCTTCATAAGCTAGTCTCTCCAATTTCTGCAAAATGTGACATCAGCTGGTTGTACTTACAGCTGCCATACCTGAACAGACTGGCCTGATCTTGGTCACTTAGAGCTTTTCTGTCAATAAATGACATCAAGTATTACATGCTTTTGTTTAGAGGAAAGAACAGGCTTTCATGCCATCTACATCTTTGGCCATTTAAAGATAATTTGCAGAAATATAGTGGGTTTAACATTTACTCCCAAGCAGCCATAATGTTTCTAGTAGGTAATTCTGCAGTGTCTAGGTAGTAACGATGTTAAGAAATGATCAGTATGGAATGAAATCTGTATATGTAAGATTTGAAAGTAGGAACACTACAAGGAGAGCTTAGCAGATGTAAGTAACAATATCATGTTCATGTGTTATACATGGATAGCAATAGGATTCCTTTCTGAGAAGATGACTGTTGGTGAGGTGGAATGGACACATGTCTGAGAGAAGTATGTATTGAAAGATTATGAGAAATAGAGAGTTGTCATAAGTTACACATATATAAGTTCTTTTAAGATTGAAAATAATTATTATAACCAACATTTATAACAAGCAGTACAAGATATTTCTTTGTTTCAGCATGTTGATTTATTCAGTCTGAACTTGCTGCTGGTAGAACTAGAGACATGTCTCACAGCATTTGTTGCACATCGAATCAAGAAATATCGTACTCCAAAGAAGCTCATAGAAGAAATTGACTCTATGCCAGGACCACCTCCACGTTGTCCATCAGGGAAGATAAAGATTCATGTTCGACTTTCCTCTGGCCAGCAGCAGCAGCATAACGTTGGGACAAGCGGAAGCACTGCTGTAAATAAGGGATATCCTCTTAATGTTGCCTCAGCTCGTGTTGGTACCTCACCTCTGATCAGAGCACCAACTGGCCAAGGTGAGAATTGCATTTTAATCTTTCAGGCATGTGTAATGATTTTAAAATGCTATTGGTTATTAATTTGGGTTTATTTACTGCACTGTGTTTTTTGATAATTTTTTATTATTTGTGTGACGTCTTATGAAAGCAAAAGTTAACAAATAAGTATTCTGAATTGAAAGGTTGATGGTCTTATAACCAGACTACTGTGTATGAAGAGTGGAGCACTGTGAAGGTGGTAGAGACACTGAACATCAATACTGTTTTGTGGGTTCCTTGTAGTATATGATCCTTTCTTGCCTCCTTGAACTGCTCTGATTAGGGCCATATTTTTTTAAAGCACTAATATCTGATATATCGACACCCGAGTGACTTGGCAAGCAGCCAAATATCTGATATATCGACAGTCCTGCATCTTTTTTTTCGGGAGCCCTTCTGTGCCCTGTGTATCTGCTTTGTCTAAGCACAGTGTGGAATTTTACTCTGCAAGGTTTCAACATTATTTCTATAAACAGTCCATGCATCAAACTTATTTACCTATGCATACAGCTGTTCTAATCATTGCTGACACTCTGAACCCAGACATCAAGAATGCTTTGCTTTTCATTCCCTGTTTGGCACCTGTAACAGTAAGATTGCTATTCAAACCTGGTAAATATATGTGGGAGAGTTAGAATATATGAGAGGAAATGGAAATGTTTGTGATTAGATATACAGTCACAGTTGTGAGATTCTTACTGTAATTTTCTTTGTTCATGTGCATATGAAGCAGTTCTGGGAACAGGGAAGAAAAAGTCAAGACTGGATGATATTGCTTCTGAATATGATATTCTAGTTTCTGTAGTGGATTTGGTTCCTTCTTATGCCCCCCCCCCCAGCTGAAGTACATTCAGTAGACCAGTGATCCACAATCAGTATGGCAGGAACTTTGATAGTTGATTTATCATGTGCTGCAAGATGATGTTGAAGAGCATTACTCTTGACATCAACTCAGAAGAAGAGCTCGAAGATACCACACCTCAGGATCTGATATCTGCTGAAGAAAATTATGACTTAGCAGATGTGCACCAGTTTGTGGGAGAACAAAGTGGCCTGAACAAAACTGCTGCTTGCAATATTACTGAAAATTCACTACCTTGTGATTTCTTCTTGCTGCATTTTCAGACCATCCTGGTAAGGAGGAGCCTGTGTGCCTACACAAAAAAATAAAATTAATGTCTCTTGGGCCAGTTACCTCGGTCCAAAAACAAGCTTCAAGATAACATTTGTAATGGCTCCACTAAGCACCTGGCTGTAATTGATCACACAGTGTACTCTTGTATTATGCAGTCTTGCTGCTAGCAAGCCTTCCTCTCTGCATGTCACCAGGAACATTGGCAATGCTAAATTGACAATAAGCATACCCTGAAGAAATTATTTGCACACTGTGATATGAGTTGTCTTTGTGCCCAGTAATAAAGCAGTCTAAAGAAATTTAATATGGCATACAAGATGGTGATCACACCCATGTAATGCTTTCTATCCCAGTAGGAAGCCAAACCCAAGAAAAATCCTGCTCATCATTTGCACCAATATTCTTTGACCAATAAAGTCAGTACTTAAAAACTTCTGTACTATTTCGTACAGAAAGCAAGGAAGAAGAGATCTTGGCTCTTCCTGATTTTGAAAGGCTGATTCACATGCTCACCTCCAGTCCAGAAAGGAGAATGACCTAACCTTTGCGTATCTCTGGTTGGTTCTCAGTTCAGCACCATACATGTATGCACACAACTCCATGTTGCCTGCGTGCTTGAGGCCCAAGTCTCTTTCTGGGCATGCTGGGCCCGTGCACAGCAACTCCAGCACTGGTGACATACCGCCTCCCTGTCCACTGTTTACTCTGTAGTGAGTGGGCTGCCTCCATTGTTTCAGTAGAGGAGACAGATCTCTCCCTTCCCTCTCACAGCCTATCTTAATTTTACTTTGAACATGGAATCTTTTTTCACTGCTTTCCACAATGTTGCACTCTCATTACCTAAATGTATAATAAACTGATCCACTTCTGCTTCCGATTGGTCTTTCTGCCAGTACTACTCTTACATCTCTGTAATGTCCATACATTGGCCATCCCGGTCTTGATTTGTCACAGACAACATAGTCTGCACTGTCTGTGCTTATTGTTCTCATGAACAGCATGTTTGACCTTTGCTTAGGCTAATGCAGTTGCATTGAATTCACACATGTATGGAGTCAGTCTGGTGACTTAGTGGCTGGCAGTGTCACTCCAGTAACTTGTCAACCCTTACATTTTCTCTTTTGCTCATTTCGCTTCTCCCAGATCATTGAGATTGGATATCCATTTAATGCTGTCTCACACTATGTATCTTGAAGAAAGCAGTCTTCTGGGATGTGGCACCATGTGGATGTGGTGTTAACCGACGTTTTGGAGGAACATATCGCCTCCATCTTCGGGGTAGAAGGAAAAATAAGAAAATCCGCAAGCAAAGAGACACGGAGAACAGGTGCAAGCAGTCTGCTTGCGATACGTTCCTCCGAAACATCGGTTAACACCACATCTACACAGTGCCACATCCCAGAAGACTGTTTTATTCATAGTCACCGCCGTGAAAACCTCAGATCTCACACACTATGTATCTTCTCTGTAGACAAGCAGTAATTTATTTCTTCACCTAATATTTTGACAGGTTTGTTGTCTTCTGTCCAGTGGTGTGGAGAGAAGATGAAGGCAGCAAATTTATAATTACTTGTTCCATAATTCATCCCTTCAAGTTTGCGGAATTCATTTGCCTTTGATAATTACATTTTATCACACCTCCTTTGTACATTAAAAGATGTGTATAAGGAATGTGATATTCTGATGTAAGAAATTTTGTGTTTGCCAAAATAAAATCTCTCTCAACCCTCCACCCACAGTTACGTCATGTGGGCAAGGAATTTCAAATGCGATTGAACAATATTAGTGTGCTCATTCTGTAAAAGCTGTTTTATCTGAACCAAACCCATGTCTTTCAACAGTTTTCTTGAAGATATCACACTCAACGTCCAATTGATTTTTTCATTCAAAACCAATGTTAGTTTCCATAGTGTTGGTACAGGTCTTTTCACAGGATGGAATTCTTGTATTTTGTCCCCAAATATTCCTGTGGAAATCATTAGCTTCGGATATTCCCATTGTTTTAAGGGTGCAAAGAATACATTTATTTAATTCAAAAAATGTTTCATTATTTACAGAATTAGTCTGCATTAAGGATGCAGTTTACTCTGCATTTATTTGATTTATTGAGCACTTGTATAAACTGCTCGGAGCTACTATTTACAGATCACTGACACACAGACCAGTGTCTTCAGTCTGTTACAGTTCCTACTAGCTGTTTCCTGGTAGTGGCTTCTATGGGGTTAATTCTTCAGCTTTCCACTCAGGTCCTGTTGTCACAGCTGTTCTGTTGCAGAACTCTTGTCAACTGACAACCCAACTATGTCCCAGGCTGATGTCCATTTCACACTGACCTAGTCTTCTCTTCACAGACCGTCTTGTCAGCTGTCAACTGAACTCTTTCACTCACCAACCAGCTACTTAACGTCACTTCACTCAGCTGAATTGCTGACAACTCTGACTGCACCTCGGCTGGTGTCCTTGTTATATAACCCTGGTGCAGGCCCAGCAAAAAACATTGCCTCCAACAGTCGTTCTGTTATTGTCATGGTTGGTTTCTTAGCAACAGACTGGATACCATTTCCACAATAACGTGTTTACAAAGTGTTACTTAGAAATGGGTGCTCCTCTCTCCGTTGCATAGTAATGGCTGTACTCTACCACTTGAGGTCTCTGCCCAACAAAGGGTCTATACACCACAGTAATTTATGTTCTGCCAAGTTATTATGAAAACTCTTAATGGTAAAGTCCCTGTGATTAATTAAGCACTACACCAGGAAGACAGAGGAGTGGATATTAGATCTGCATATGATATTGACCTTCACATTAGTTGGATGCGAGTGGTCAGTTTCATTCCTCAGCCGTTTTATTCCCAGAAGAAGAAGTCCCCAATATCCATTGGATAGGAGGCAGGGCGGTCACCAGAACTGGTCTGGACAATGTGGAGAGGAGAAAAGTTGTGCCCTCACCGGCACTTGAACTGTGACCCCTTGGCTGTCCAGCCCATGGCCAGTCACTCTACTGACTGCTATCCTGGTCACCCAATTATGAAAACCATGAAAATTGTTTATGCTTAAAAAGTCAGTATTGCAGTGTCTGAGCCTGAACTGAGCCCTAAATGTGGCAGCGTGTGCTGCAAAGAAGTCAGGGTAAAGTATGATAACTTTCTTTACTTTTATATGTGTTTACCAATCCAGGTCATGAATTTTTATTGTACTTTGAATCTGCATTACTGAAGCCTCACTAATGCTTGTGTATATGGTTTTTGCAGTTGCCTTTTGAATTGGTGATCTTGAAGTAATTTGTTTCAAGATTTCTCTTGACAGCTTGCAAGACATTGAGCATTTCTTGTACATAAGTGTGATGAAATCATATCTTTGTGTAAGTAGAGGGAACCGCCCCTAAAAAGTTTTTGAAATTATTGAACAAATTGAGATGGAGGATAACTTGGTAAAAGAGAATTCCCTAAAAGGCGATTTCATTTGCATGAGGAAATTCTCATTTAAATTTAAGTTCAGTTCACTAATGTATCATACAGAATCAAGATGCTTTAATTATACCTTAAATTGGATCTTTTTCAAGCAGTTTATTGCATATTTTAGTATACAGTAATGGCTTTATGGGATATAGAATTGGGATCTTTTTCAAGCAGTTTATTGCATATTTTAATATACAGTAATGGCTTTATGGGATATAGAATTGCCCTGTATGTTCAGGTCTCTGATCTGAAGTATGAGAATAAGTCTAAGGCATGCCAGGATGCCCTTATGGTGTCCTCAAGAAATAAAAGTGGTTGCTAGAAGCAGTTACAGACTGAACTGTAAGATGGCTTCCGCTGCGATTGTGGTTTGCGGAAAATGATTTTCCATTGTTGATAACTTGCATATGAAGCTAAATTATGATTTAATGTATGAGATTGGATGAGTAGAGGTGTTTTCTGTGGGAATGTAGCTGTCGATGGGAGTTCTTTATTTTGAAGGTTCTCTCTGTTGCATTTGAGAAAAAACGAATGCAGCTGTGGATTAAGAAAAGGGATGATGCCCTATGCTGTGCAAGTTGATTGTATGATAATAAGGTGGAAACAGTCTCTGTTTTAAAGCTTCACCATTATTGTAGTGACAGGAAAGTAGGCATTTAGTTCCTTCCAGAACTTCAGATTGTTCATCATTTTATGAAGTTTAATATAAGAACATGCTGTATTCATTTAAGCCAAGACTGTTTAAACATGGATATAAAAATCATGAAGTGCGTAATACTTTGCATAATTTGGTCATGTATGTGAAGTATGTGTATTCAGCATAAGAATTGGAGTCAGTGTTTTGAAGTTCAAAAGTGTATCTGTATTTGAGGTCCAGATGATTCTGTAACAGTTTGTGAGGTTGTGATTGAAAGAAATGTCTCTCTGGTTAGTGGCGAATTGGATAACGGTCTTGTATATCTTACCATTTGAATTAAAAGGAAGGGTTAGATATTTTTTTATGAAGTTTGTTTTTATAGCCAACATTTGTACTAGATAAAGCACTGCATAGTGCATATCATTAGCTTTCCACAAGTTAGTGATGTTGAATATTTTCCATGACATTTCCTGTAACAATTTGACATTGAAATGTTATTCAATTTTATAAATTCCTGCATATGCTTGTGTGGGGATTTAATGATATTTTTATCATTCTGTTCTCTCCCAACGCAGTTTCAGACATTTCTCTTGCATTTCTGTCCTTAACATCATCTTTATTTATACCAACATTTTCCTTCTTCCTGCGATTTTGAACATATTCATTGTTACATCTGCTGTGTCCGAGCGAAGTGACTCACAGTATACAGTGAAAGAACCTACTGGAATGAAGAGCTTATATGATGTAATGGATGGATATACCTCATTGCCTAAAATTGTGAGATGACTCATGTTTCAGGCCATCTAGTCACGATATGTGGAGTCCAAATATAGTGGATTTCTGTTAATTGGGCAGCCATTTATTTTGGGCAATTCATGGATAACAAACAAATTGAGAGTATAGCCAGAATTTGCTTTGCTTGGGACACCATGTCATTTAGCTGGTCCAGCAGATGCCACATGGCATACTTGTGATTGTGTTATTAGTGAGTCACTGACACATTTCATGTACGTGAACACCTAGTTACATTTGCTCTCAGTCTTGTAGTGACTGTGTTTTTGGGTCTGCTGTGACGTGTTCAGTGACTTCATTTAAAATTTTAGGTCCCTATAGAAATGCCTTGGAGAAATGTAACGCTCGCAGACAAAATTGCTTTACTTGAAAAAATTAAAAACCAGCCACCTCATACCAGTCATCACCAAATGGCAGAGATAACTGGAGTGTCAAAATCTGCAGTTGTGCACATTATACAGAGGTAATAGAAACTCTGAGATGAATGGACATTACACCACGGACTACAGGAAACTTCCCAGAACCGGAAGTGTGAAGGCAAGGATCCAGATGTTGACGAGGCCCTCAGTGAGTTAATTCACTATCATAACTGGGCAAGGTGCACGTGTCAGTGGCCCAGTGTTAAATAACATGTCAGAGAAGCTAGCTAAAGTCTGGGTCATAGTGATTTTGAAACAATAGGTAGTTGGAGTGGAGTTGTCAGTGGAGATGGAGGTTGGGACAGTACTGATGCTGGAGGTGCTGAGCAATGGCAGTCCACAAAACTGCCAAACTTACTTTAGAAATTTTGTGCTGATGATATCAACACTCTTATTTTTACACTTACACGTACACTTATTCACAGCTTCAGTATCACAATTACTGCTTCTGCTATAGTCGAAGCCAAACTGAAGACTTACTACTACTACTGACTGATCTCTTCGAAGGTCAAACACAAGCTGAACTTGTCTTTTGTTGAAGCTGGAGTTTTATAACCTTGTCTTGGATGTTATGCAGCGAACCCTCTGTTGTTTTTTCATCTCTGGGAAAACATGTTTGTTTGCACTGTTCCTATGCAACGACCCACTGTTATTGCGTTTCCATGGAAGTATCCCTTCTGGACGCAACACTGTAATACGTTATAACGGTTCATGAAAATCACCGTACATATCTGATGATGGCTGTTTGGCCAAAACATGTCATTGAATTTATATGACAGCATGGTGGTGAATCAGTCAATTACCTGTGAAGCTGCATTGAAGACTGTTGTGTGTGTATGTATATCAAGTAATTAACTAATGCAGAAGTTGCTTAAATACAATATTGTCATGTGTACAGAGTGACTCTAGATGGGGTTTGGATTGATGATTGAATTTATTGAACACACACAGATTGTAACTACAAGGATCTGCTTAATGAGAGCCATCAGGTATTCATTAAAGTTATTGATTACTGGTTTGGGCACCGGTTACCTGTCAGTTTGTAGTAATCTCTTAAACTTGTATGATTCATTAGTACTGAATGCTTGAGACACTTCAGATTCCATGTGGCTTAATATTTCCAGTTACTAATTACACACTTGAAGGTGAACTCACTGTGGCTTCATTATCATCTGTTCCAAAGCATTAACTTTTGTGCTGCATTTCTTATGTAAAAGGTGTTGTGACCACATCACATGAAGCAGTGTTTTTTTTCTGCAATATGCAGCTGCATGTCCACCAGATTTTGCAATATCTTAATTTCTTGAAGAGAGCAGTCTTCTGGGATTTGGCACCGTGTATATGTGGTGTTAACCGACGTTTCGGAGGAACGTATCGCCCCCATCTTCAGGGTTGAAGAAGTATAAGTAAATCTGCAAGCGACAACACCGTGAGACACGGTCAAGCAGTCTGCTTCTTCAACCCTGAAGATGGGGGCGATACGTTCCTCCGAAACGTCGGTTAACACCACATATACACGGTGCCAAATCCCAGAAGACTGCTCTCTTCATAGTCACCGCCGTGAAAGCCTCAAATCTTACATCTTAATTTCTTCTTTTCCTCAACATGGTGTTAAATTGTATCATAAACTAATCCTTTGCTCTCTCAGACACAGATGATTAGGAAAATACATACTGATAATTCTGAACCGAGTAAATTGACATGTAATAGATTTCAAGGTATTTATACTAAATTCTTGTAACATAATCTGGTTATAAGTGGATCAACAATGTTAAGGCATACAAACTGTTGTTAGTGTTCCTGTATTCCATAACGCTATATAACATCCAGCCTGGCCAGTTGCTCTTCAATATGAAAGCAATTTCTGATCACGAAACTGTAGAGTATCATGGATTTAGTGTCTCTGTTATCTCTCAGCTAATAAGTTTTGCACTGCAAGGTGTGCGCGTGCGTGTGATGCATGAGAACAAGCACTGTGTTTTCTCACTCAGGTGTGACTCTGAGAGTGACAGGTGGATCTCAGCGGCAGGGATATTCAGTCCAACTTGTGCAGCATCAGGGTGGTGTTAAGGGTAAGGAACTGGCTATTGGAAGTATTGTAGTGCATGTGTGTTTCACGTGCTTGCTCCCCTTTCTGTGGATAAATAATTCGAGTGATTTCAAGAGGAACAGAATGTAATTACATTTTAAATTAAATTTTGTCTATACTGATTGTACATTAATTTTTATAATGTTTAGACATACTGCTTTGTTTATGAAATATGTTTGCTACACATGTCAGTTGAGGTTCAGCTCCTGTTGAATTTAGAAATATTATTTTGTACAGCCACATACGAATGAAAGTTGTTATGAAAGGTGTATTAAGTGTACTGAGATACATTCAGTTTTGCAGAATTCACAGTAATTGGATTTGCCTTTGTAATTGTCATCTTGAAAGAGTGATAAGGATATCAACATGATTTGTGTGACAGTTTTGTTTCAGAAAGTACCATGTAAATCGAGAACACATACATTAAAGTCTCTGTCCATAAACTCGGTGTTAAAGAGAGGTGTTACATTCATTATTTAAAAACTGAGTAAAATTGTATATAACTTAAAATTGGCATTTAATGTATAGTGTCTAATTAAATAATGAACTTCCGTTAAAATGTATTTATTTGTTAAAATATATTTGCCAAAATGCGTGGGAAGATTACATAATGCACAAAATAAAATTTAGGGTATTGGAGCTTTATGGAGGTTAATAGTGTTATTGACAGTTTCCCTCAGAAGTACTTTCTGAGGTTGTAGGAGATTGAATCCATGCGATATAGCAGTCTTATCTTTTCCTCGAAGAAGTAATTGTTTGGTAGAAGGCTGTTATGGACCGTGGTTATACATATACAAGGAGATGCCACATAAAGAAGGAATTTCCTTGCCAATGAAACAAGATCTATACAGAAACCTACAAAGTGAAGGTAGTATTTGAGGTGGGTGTAGTGCCAAATCCCAGAAGTCTGCTTTCTTCATAGTCACCGCCGTGAAAACCTCAAATCTTAAAATAGGAATGATGTATAAAGTTTCCGCTTAGTTACATGAGTCAACTTGAGACATCCATGAAATTGCCTTTGCTTCAAAAGTTAAAGAAATAGAATGTCCCTCATAGCTCTTGATTCTTTTCACGGATAGTTACTGGTGTGGCTCTCTCTATGTAGCATATTTAAACTGTAGATGGAAATTGAAGGAGCTTCTTGTAGCATCTTAAACTTATGCTCTGCTATGGCGAAAATAAAATCTATTCCTGCGTGCAAGATAAGGGTAAACTTTTCCTGATTAGTAACGTATTAAATCTTATGTTGCTGGACTACTGGCTTGGAATTATTGAACTTAAAAATCATGCATCTTCCTGTTTAATGACTATGCATGATTTTTTAAGAAAACAGAATTATCTTGGTAGTTCCATGTGCATAGTGTAAGGTACTGTGGTAGTTAGCAAAAATCACTCTTATTTTCTTTGAACTACAGAGGAGTGCATCATGATGATTATTTTGAAGTAAGGAGTTAACCAGGCAGTGATACAGATAGCTTTATGCATTATAAATCTTATATGGTTCTCTAACAGCAAAATAGTCTTGGATATAGATCCCATTATGCACTCTATAGCCACAATCACTGGGTGACAGGAAGGTGAGTTCTGTTTTGGAGCTGAAACACATAATTATGGTTTTTGGAAAAATAACATCCACATTTTGAATAGCTTGCCCATATTTACAGAGAGTATTGTTCCAGTAGTACTGGATTTGTACTTTTTGAAATCAGGGCTCAAATAGACAGTATTAGGCACATTGTTCTGACAGTGGAAAATGTTACACGTAGATGCCCCATTTAAATTAGTACCATTAAGTTCTGTGTGTTTTTAAAAATACCGAATGGTGTGAAATTAGAATTGTAGTTGTTTAGATTGTGAGTTGCCATGGTATTTTATTTTGTGAGTTTCTGGTGATGTTAGCTCATGAGTAAGTGATCTTGTGACCTGGGCTAAAGAACCCATGAGAGACAAGATAATTGTACTGCTTATCCCTTTTTGGGGTAAAAATTTTCATAAAGCATTGTTTTTTTTAAAGGCAGTTTTATGGCAGTAACCTTTTTCAAAAGGAAGAAGGAGCAAGGAGCAAAAAAGATGGACAAAATTTTCTGGCAAGTGGATTTGTGCTAGCATTGGCAACTGTTATGTTTCTGACATATTAGAAATTTAGTGTGCTGCTGCACATAGCTATAGCAGTTATTTGTAAATTCTCAAAATCTGAGACTGAAAAGGCAACACACACACACACACACTTCCCTGTAACAGACTAGACAGTAATCTGGAGGCAGTCTTTAAATGTAATGCCACGTTTGTGCCGTCCTGTGTGTGTGTGAGTTGACTTTAAAACTGAGAGTTATGGAACTGTAAATTCAGACCAGTCTCTTTGAAGCCAGATATGGCCTGGCTGTAGAGACTCCAAGCAGTGGGCCAAATTCAGAAGCATGATAATCTGATATGCCAGTCAGCATATGGTTCAGTACAGTGTCTTTGAGAATACTGTGACATTTAGTTATCCTTTCCCTTCTGAATCTTGACCTTTGTGGTGAAATACAGCTGCCAGTCATAGTATGACTTTTACTGAGACCCTTAGTTGTTCCTTACAGTGGTATGAGATGTTTTTGTCCCTGATAATTTTGTGCACTACGACCTCGTGCCACTTCAGTTTTTATCCAGGAGCATTGTTCTTATTTCGTAAACATGTTGTTAGGGTGCTTGAACTGGGTTCCTGCACTTCAAGACAGTGCACAGTGCAACTCAATGAAACACAACCAGAGCCACTCACTGAACTACTTCAACTGAACTGCTATCAGCTACAGATGGCCCTAGTGCCACCTGAAGCACATCTTTCATGTTACAGCAATGTTGCCACTACTTTTTATCCAACCCTTGTATTATATTCAATATGCAAGAATGTGTGCATCATAGGGCACTGCCCATTGAAGAACATTCCAGCTCCAAAAAATAGGAGCTCTTTAGATGGGCTCCAAAGCACAGAGTGAAAATTTTCCTAAGAGTGGTTGTAATGATTTTTGTTAAATTTCAGTAATTTATGGAGCCTATATCTATAAATAAAACTGCGTAGGTTGTAACTTCAGAAAAAAGATGGTATTTGGACAAAGGTTTCAAAATTAGTGTATGCGCACAAGGGGTCCCAATTGTGAAATGTTTAATTTGTTGAAACCTGGTTTACAGGTGAGCCAGGTTTCAGTGTTGTATGGTATTCAGTAACCAACATGGTCTACCAAGCAACAATCAGCTTCATTCATAATCTGATATGATTGAGGTAAATCGTATGAGCAGTTGTGTTCGTCTTCACTTTGATTCCAGGAATAATTGCAGTTTTATTTGGTGGATTGGGAAGTTCATGTCAACACAAAGCGTTGATTTAGTTGCAAAGTAATTTGAATCTCGAGGGATGAAGTTGGGCCCTGAACTCAATTGTTCATGGCTGTGCATTTTTTTTTTGCACAGTTCTGGGAGGTTTATTTTCAGTCTGAAGTGTGTTATTCTGCAGCAGTTGTACCCCACATCTGCCTACCATAATCACCTCCTGTTTGCTGCATTATTGATACAAAACACTTTTTAACAAAGCAGATGCTACTTACTCCTTAACCATTTTTCTTCGTTCAAAAGAAACTTTATTCAGACTTCCATATTATTTTTAATTTTACAGTCCTTGGAAGAAGAAATATCTTTGCTGTTTACTGTTTTTTTTATCATACACAGCATTCAGATGTTCATTGTACCACGGATTAAATTTCATAATAGTACATCATAAAATGGTATAAACTGTTGGGTCCAGCAATGACGTTAGTATGACATGGCTTATTCTGGCAGGACACTGAACGCTATACTAGTATTACTTCCAATTTAAAAAATTCATGTCATAAAAACTTATCTTGCCAGAGACATGAATGTTCCACTTTTTCACATCCCAGAACTTCTTGTTATATTTTGTTTCATTAGAAGTCTGCCATGTAGCACTGCAAAACTGCACTGTCTTGCAGATGGCTCAGTAGTTCTTGCATTTCAGTCAGCTAATATTTAATCTGTTATACCTTACTTGATGCTTGTGTGACTGTCTCATACCTGTCAGAAATCAACACACACATTGTGGCCCTAGACTAAACACCACATGGTGTGGATGTCTCCTGCAGAAAAGGTTTGGTATTCGAGTTGATTTCCAAGCACATCCCAGTCAAGGTGGATAAACCAAGAGCAAGTTAGAGTTTGCAATCAGATCCTATACTGAGTGTAAGTAAAGTGAAAATTATGCGATCTAAATTTAACACAGATGCAGAAGTGATGGAAATTTTAAACAGTTCAGATTTTATTGCGTTCAAGATTGAAGATCAAAATTGATGTGATGACACATTTAGAAATCACTCATCTGGAAGAGACATATCAGTTGAGCAAGAAATTGTTTTAGAACTATTGCCACAAAGAGGCCAAAATGTTACTAACCCCATAAAGAAACCTACATTTTCTGGGCAGCCAGGATCGAACCCAAGTTTAGAAATAACAGGAAAGTTCCTGTAATGGTTTTTTCAATATATTTTCTGACAGTGGGATATTTTCAGAAATTCAATCAGAAACCAACAGATGTGCTAAGCAACAAATAAAGAAAGAAACAGTAAGGTTCTTGGAAACCAAAATCTGTATATTCTTAGTGGATAGAAGTAAGCCTACATGAAAGAAGAATATTTTTTAGATTAGTTGTTCGCATGTGTTCTGTGAAGAAACCATCACTGTGTTACTGCTGGATGATGGGACTAGTTTTATGCATAAACTGTGCATCGTGAATTGGGATGTCATGATGTTGCTGTCTGGTAATCCTTTCAATTTTACCTCCCAGCCGCACTAGGCCCTGGGGTTTACTCAGCCTCTAACAGAAATGAGTACCAGGAATTAATTAAATAATTTTCCTGGGGAGTAAAGCACGGCCGGTGTGTAAGGCTGACAACCTTACTGCCATCTTTGAGCTGATTGGCTAGATAGTGTGGGACC